ATCGACTTCTTATCTTGGATTCCTCTAAATATCGTTTTGGAAATATTTCCGAAATTCTTAAATAAATAGACTGTGAACATTCAAAAGAGAAAATCGGGAAGCTATTTGCTTTTTTAACTTCTCTATTTTTGGCAAAAAGAATTTTTCCATATTTCAGTAATGCACTGTAACAGTCACCAAAATATCGATGTTATTCACTTTTTTCAAATGGAAATGAAACTCAGTCTCTCTGTGGTCAATGCTTGGCACTTGCAATTAATACAGTCTCCCGATAAATATAAATTTTCTTTTTGGTATAGGAATGGGTTTAATTGTCAGCGATCTTGTATCAATCTTTATCAGGACGATAACGATAAGAATTGCAGCGTCGTTTAAATTTGCAAATGAAATCGTCAACCATGGCCAGCAGGCTCTCTCCCTTTCTCTTTTGGAATCTCCTTCTCTTTCTCCCTCTCTCTCGTACACACACTCTCTCTCTCGTCTCTACTTGCCACGCTCGCAATTCCATAAAGCCCCGTTTCTATGATGGCAGAGGGCTCGCCGGCCCTGCAGGGCTTCGTGCGACGCAGATTAAATGCACTTCATGTAAAATTCAACGCGACCCGCGGCAGCTTCGGGGATACTTTCATTTTTAAAAAAGTTCCATTAGCCGGCCGGAATTTTTATATCTCGCCGACGCGAACGGTCCTTGTCGAACACGTGATCCGATCTAGACTCGCATCTTCCTCTTGTCGCGTACAAAAATAACGAGAACCAAACGCAACCGCAAGAAACGAGAATTCCTTCCGTCTGAATTAACAATAAGATTCAAGGGGTACGAATGTATTAATTTATAACTTCGGCCAAATCTATTGAAAACGAAACGTCAAGAGCTAACATTTCCAGAAACATATATTTAAAAAATTTTCGAAGACATTTGTATAAATATTTTTGGTGGTTGTGTCGCGGCTCGATTTTATTGTACTCGTTTACAACCCTTGCTAAACCTATTGGAAAGGAGAGAAATCAGAAGTTGAGAAGCCGACATTTCCGAAAACATTTTCTTAAGAAACACTTGAAGATATTTGCAAAAATATTTCTGGAGATTCTATTGAATTAGCACGATTATTACATGAATTACTAATCATATTGAATACACTTATAATTCGACATTTGACATGACGTTTCCAAAGAGATTTATTAAAAAATTCTTGAAGATAATTTACGAAAATATTTTCGCGAGTATCTTAAACTAATCCATTTGTCTATTTGTCCTGAGGAAAGAAAACAGAAATCGATCATTGCAAGCGTATACTTTACCAGAAAAAGCTAAACTCATCCTGTCAATGAAATCATAGCCACTTTCAGACACTTCGAATATACAGTAACAGAACTTATAATTAATGGAAAACAGAGTTCGAAGTGCTTTAGAAAAAAAGGTGCAGAGCGCATCCAGACATCGATTAAGAAAAAATCCTCGGCAAAAGCCGAGTCGGAGGGTTGCGGCCGAAAAAGAGCAAAAGACAGTGAAAAGCGGGGGGGCGGTGAAAGAGCATCGTCGGTGGTCGGCGATTTCCCCTAAACGCCGCGATATATCGATCCTGGAAGGAATCCTTTCACGGCAGAGCATCGGGTCCACTCTCTGGCGCGTTCGTCGGTCGTCCGTCGGTCGTCCGTCGGTCGGTCCGTTCTTTCGTCCGCTAAATACCGCAGCATCGCGAAATTAAAATATTGATCGAACAGCGTCGCGAGGGAGAATACGAATTGCGGTGGAGAGAAGAGAACACCCCCTTTCCTCCTCTTTTCTCCTCTTCCTCTCTTGCCTCCTCGGTCGCCCCCCTTTTCTGCATGTTTCCGGCGAACCGACGAGCCCCCTGCCGCGGGGGTGGTTAACGAAAAGAGAGCGAAAAAGAGAGAGAGAGAAAGAGAGAGAGAGAGACAGCAACGAATCGGCGAGGAGAGGAAAAAAAGATTGCGGTCCGACCGAAAATTCGAATGTCAATGACTCGTCGAACCGAGCGCCAAACTTAGTTCGATATCGAAAGTTCGTCGACTTTTATTCACCTTGTACCGCGCGCACCGGCTTCTCTGCTTTTTCCTTTTTCCCTTTTTCCGGCCCGGCGATACCGTGCGGGATAATTTACGAGGGGGTGGAATTTGTCTGCGGGGTCGGCTCTACTCGAGGACCATGCCAGGTGCATTTTTTGCCGTCTGGTTAGTTTATTGTTTGTTAATCGGCCCAGGGATCCACGGCTCCCTCGATATCGGTGTTCATTAGCTCGTTACGATCTCCTACCCTTGTACGGTCGCGCAGTGCTCTGGAACGGGGTGATTTTTCACCAAAAATGAATTTCTCAGCTTTCATTTTTCATACAAATTTTCTCCGTACAGATTCTCACGATAAATATTGCTGGATACAAGGTACATCGTCTAACTGAGTACAGTCGTAATGCGAAAAAGAAAATGTATGGCTCGATTTAAAAAAAGACAACGTTGACCTTGAAATATCCTCCACCATTATATCAATGGAAAAGTATTGAAAAAGCAACTAACGCATTCGAATGAAGATCGCCCTTTTGCAACCAGTTCGAAACAATCGGATTGTAAGAAAAGACAATGCTGTCCTGGATTGCGTTCATGCAAAACGACTCGTCCGCTTTATAGGAACGGTTTCGCCATTAACAAAGGCCCAAAAAGGACGAAAGGTAGCTTCGCGGGAGAAATCGATATTCCCTTTGTCGGGAAATTCGGGTCCATCGGCTTGCCGAAAATGCAATTTTTCCGGAAAAATTGGAACCCATCGTGCCGACGTAAATTCCTCGCGCTATGGATCGGCTGCACGGAAACTATAAATTTCTTGAAACAAACTGGCCGAGGCTGGAATCGTTTCAAACGAAGGCGAATGAACCAGATCGAAAAGGGCTATGACGATATCAAATCAAATAGAAAGGACAATATAATGTTACAACATTTTTCTGCTAAATACTTATCCGGCAGAGTCAATATTGAAGAAAATAGTTTCTCTAGTATAACATTGGACAAAATTATTCTACGCTTTCGAAAAACAATTTAAATACAAGAATCTAGATTGAAGAAGCTATTGTAATATATTTGTTCTAAACTTTCTTCCGGTAAAAATGATTTTAAATAAAATGGTTTCTTCAGTGAAACAAACATTGAACAAAATTATCTTGTGCTACCGAAAAATGATAATACACAAGAATAGAGATCGCAGAGAATATCGCAATATTTTTCACCTAAATATTGTTCGATGAAAACAATCTTAGACATTGAAAAAGAATCGAATACGAGCATGAAAATCACAGAAAACATCACAATAATTTTGTTACAAATATTGTCAATGAAACAAGAGAAACTTCTATGTGATAAATCTAATGTAAAAGAAACGGTTGTACATTGACGCGTGAAAATAGGAGAAAAATGAATTTTCTGGAATAGCCGACCAGAAGTTCCATCCAGTTACGGCGTCGCGATCCTGCAAATCTACGGGCGTAAGTAAATCACGATGGCGCGCGGTTCAAGTTCTCTCCGCGGAGCTACGAGGACCGTTTCAATATTTAAGGGTACGTAACCGCGTCGACAGGCGAGAGCAAACACTTTATTTAATTAAAGCGTAAATCGAGCGACGTCCGACGCTAAGACCGGAAGCCCGCGGCACTCTGGAACGCCGTGGAAACTTTTTCCGGGAGTTTTAATCGCGGGATAAGTCCGCGTCGGAGAAGTTACTCGCGGCCCGAAGTTTCGATTACACTCGACCGACTGTTTTCCCGACTTCCGTGGGATCCTGCGCGCGTCATTGTCTCCCTTTATCGTCACACTTTATTAACACTTTATCCACGGACCGACCCTTAATGGTCTTTTAACCCTGCTGCCGCATTTCCACCCATACAATCGAGAATTCCTACGGTAATGCAACTCGAGAACGACACAATTTCTTATTACATTTATCAGACCTGCGGACGACTCGTAATTAGCAGACTGCGGATCATTATGCAAAATAAAATTTTCCAACACGTTTGTAAAAAATATAAATTGAATCAAAATATATTGTTGCTTTTAATAATTTTAAATAGGTCGAGAACAGTGTTGCAATATTATTAAGTTCTTCATATGTCTTTCACAATTTTACGCTATAACTACACATTTTTGCCATAAATGCGTAAAATCCGCAGTGTAGTAATTAGACTGCAGATTGCATGAATTTATGGCAAAAGTGGGTGTAGATACGATTTGAAGCAATAAAGTGATTCGAAAAATGTAAGAACAGCAACTTATTACATTCATTTTGTTGGAACGATCGAAGAAAGAGCGTTCCTGTTTGGTTTTCGTTTATCATAATTTTCTAAGGCAGTTTCTATTTCGCGTAAAACTCCTCATTTCAGATTTATTTGTAGTAACGATCGTCACACTTTAATAACACTTTATACGGCCGTGAAAAGAGTTTCGCGAGGATCGCTCAAGTTTCCCCGAGACAAGAGACCGAGGACTGCAGTCCGATTTTTCCAATTTTCCTCGAGGTTCGTTAATATTCCCCATCATACTCGGATTGTTCTATTAATACAGGACCGTCGTTATAGGACGTTTGAAAGCAACTGGCTTTCTGAACTGAGCGATAGCGCGTCACGAGGACGCTTCGCGCCCGAAATAGTCCCAAACCTCATTAGTTTCATTCGGAACTTATGAAATTAGCGGCACACCTACGACCGCCATGCTTCCGTGCAACCTTCCGACGTTTCTGTTCCGTCGACCGACAAAAGTTTTATCGGCGAACGTCTATCGTTGCTCGTAAAATGGTGTTCAGCGAATTCTATTCGACCTCAGAGTCTGCGATTTTACTCGACGATATGAAAATGCATGAAAAAAAAGCCGCGCGACGATTTCCAACGAAACGGTGTAACTGTGATCGACGGAGAATGCGAATGGCATCGCACTCGCTCGATCCTTGCAGACCGAGATTACTTTCCCGCCAAGAAAATACATCGTTTGGCAGTGTCACTCACCTGGAGTTCCTCCTTGCACTGACGTTCCTCTTCGAGACTCATCCGCTTCTCGTGCTTCTTGTAGTAACGCCTCTTGGCGGCTTGTAGGTTGAACCACGTGTACGAGAAAGACTTCACGAATGGTAGGAGGGCCTCAATGAATGGATGGAACTCATCCTGCGTGCACAAACAAACGACGAACCGGTTAATAAATTTCCGACATTCCTGGCAATTGAAAGTCACTGTCCGTTCATTCGCAGAAAAAGGGGATGCGGAACGCATTAGGCAAACGGCTTCGTTAACTTTCGCACGCTTTCATACTGTTCGAGTATACAACTGTTTTAGACTATGCTCTAATATCGATGTTTATGACCGTTCATTATACTGCGGACTTTTATGCAAAATAAAATATACATACACACATTTAATTCTTCCTTTAATGATCCGAACGAGGTTAAAATAGCACATTGATACTCCGAAAATAATTTTAATTCGCCCAATCTTTTGTGGATCTTTACACCTCACTACTCACAGTTCACTACTTTACAATCTAATTCTTCTACCTTTTTCTATTAATTTTTATTTTATTTTTCTTCTAACAGTAAACTCTCCCACCGATCATATTTTTCTGTATTATACTTTTGTGTGTTTTCAACACTTTTTCTTATTTTGTATTATATATAAAATCCCATTTTTAATTTCTTCTTCTGTAACAAAGGGTATCTTTTACCCATACACATAAATAAATAAAATTAAAATTAAGTCTTTTTATACAAAGCTCCATTTTTACACATGATTTTACAAGAATTAAAATTAGAGGCGTTACTCGCAGCTGACGCGAAGTGGTTCTCAAAATCCGGAAATACAACCGCGTAAAACGATCGAAAACAATCGAGTTTCTCTAGGGAAGAGGTCTGTAGGCCGGTCTAAGTTCGCATAAAACGCTTTTAATAATTCCGATGCCGGTCGTTTTCCCCGCGATTGTTCCGCCCGGTCGGGATTCCGTTCTAAAATCCGAGGGATTTTCTACGCGACGGATCAAACGGTCGGAGATCTCGTTTCGCCGAAGGACGACGATTTCCCGACAACGCCAGAAAGAAGAGGGTCGCGGAAGGAAGCTCGTCCTTATCGTAGCTTTCGTTCTCTTCCGGGATCGAAAGGTCGATGAATCTCCGTTTCCGGTCGGCGGGACGACCAACGAAAGAGGGACGAGAGTACAAGACGAACGAGAGAGCACGTAGAAGAAGAAGAAGAAGAGGAAAAAGAAGACGAAGAAGGAGAAGAAGAAGAAGTGGAAGAACCGAATGAAAAAGAAACGGAGGAGACCAGATAGAGAGAAAAAGGCGGAGGTTCTTCCGCCGTTCGCCGATTGTAGGTCGAGGATCGAGCTATTCCACGATCGCCGCGGGAGAATAGATCCGCCGAGCCTTTGTCAGGCAAATGCGGGTGGCCGTGGAGGCAGAACCCCCGTCACGCTCCTCGGTGGGGGATGTAAACATCATTTTACGGGGGATCAATTTTCGGCCGACTTCTCTATGGAGCACTCTCGCATGAAAATCAGCCCCGGTTGCGGAATATTCATCGTTGGAACAATAACGTACGTGCACTCTCATCCCTCCCCTCGGACCACCCCCTCGGCCACCCGTAGCACCCACTCCGCAGAGCGGAACGACGGGGCTGGAACCATCGAGTTGTAACGATGTGCTTGATCGACGGGTTCGAGTGGACGAATGCCGGCTAATGGCGCGTGATGGATGCTCGCCCGAGAGTCCGGGAGCCGAGGAAAATGTCGCGGGGGTGGGAACAACGTCACTGTGCCACCCGTTCGCACCCTCGTCACGGTGCCGCGTAAATAAACGTTGGTGTTCCTTTTTGAAAACCTGTCGGATCCCGAGAACCCGAGCCGCTCTGCTGGTTTTCGACGAACCACGATGTTTAACTCCGGGGGTGGTTAAGGGATTCTACCGTTCTCTGTGGTCCTTGGCTGGTTACGGACCACTTGCGCTCTCGAATTAATTATTTACTCACTGTCAAATGGTCTTTATATACTCTATATGTTAAAAGAGCATCGTAAGACGTCTATTCGATCTCCAGCAATTTTTATCTACTACCCTTAAACACCCGGAAATTTAGTATTTTTATCGAGGGGATCAGAAGACACCGCCGAAATTGAAATTTAAAATAACTTTCTACGTTTAATTACTTTTCCCTGATTATTATTATTATTTATTATCCCCTTGCACTCGAAGTCATTTTAACTGTAAATCTAAATTANAGCTATTCCACGATCGCCGCGGGAGAATAGATCCGCCGAGCCTTTGTCAGGCAAATGCGGGTGGCCGTGGAGGCAGAACCCCCGTCACGCTCCTCGGTGGGGGATGTAAACATCATTTTACGGGGGATCAATTTTCGGCCGACTTCTCTATGGAGCACTCTCGCATGAAAATCAGCCCCGGTTGCGGAATATTCATCGTTGGAACAATAACGTACGTGCACTCTCATCCCTCCCCTCGGACCACCCCCTCGGCCACCCGTAGCACCCACTCCGCAGAGCGGAACGACGGGGCTGGAACCATCGAGTTGTAACGATGTGCTTGATCGACGGGTTCGAGTGGACGAATGCCGGCTAATGGCGCGTGATGGATGCTCGCCCGAGAGTCCGGGAGCCGAGGAAAATGTCGCGGGGGTGGGAACAACGTCACTGTGCCACCCGTTCGCACCCTCGTCACGGTGCCGCGTAAATAAACGTTGGTGTTCCTTTTTGAAAACCTGTCGGATCCCGAGAACCCGAGCCGCTCTGCTGGTTTTCGACGAACCACGATGTTTAACTCCGGGGGTGGTTAAGGGATTCTACCGTTCTCTGTGGTCCTTGGCTGGTTACGGACCACTTGCGCTCTCGAATTAATTATTTACTCACTGTCAAATGGTCTTTATATACTCTATATGTTAAAAGAGCATCGTAAGACGTCTATTCGATCTCCAGCAATTTTTATCTACTACCCTTAAACACCCGGAAATTTAGTATTTTTATCGAGGGGATCAGAAGACACCGCCGAAATTGAAATTTAAAATAACTTTCTACGTTTAATTACTTTTCCCTGATTATTATTATTATTTATTATCCCCTTGCACTCGAAGTCATTTTAACTGTAAATCTAAATTAATTTTTCTGACTTACGGTATTTCCATTTTATATGACAAAGTGCATTCCATGTATATGAAATTTAGTCTTGCAACTCATACAACAATTATGTTGGAACGTGATGTAACAATTTTAATGGTGCCTCATAATCACCACTCGAGTGCAAAGGGTTAATTAATCGGGCAAAACACCCTTTAGATTATAGAATATAATATATAGAGTGATTTAATTCGAAAATACGTAGTGTAAATTGCGTCGAGAGATTTGAGAGTTTCAGAAAAAATTCTTGTTGTTGCTGTAGGAGTTATATGATAATTCTGATTGAAAAGCGACTGTAAAATTAATTTGGTAAAAATAGATATACACCAAAGATCAGCAAAAATAGTGTTAAACGCTTACGAGATCGAGTTACTTTGCCGGTTTTCGACGGAAGTCGGAGTATAGCTTCGGGGGTAGCTTGCAAATTAACAGGTTAAAATAAAACGTGACGAACACTAAAGAAATCTGTGTTGCTTTATAAAAATTAGAATACTGAATTTATCTTGGCATCTTGCTATTTTGTAATGTGTATTTGAATGAAGGAATTTATTCAATCATTTGCTACGAGAGGCTCATTAGGATCTCAACAATTTTTAAATAATTGTCGTGCATCTGACTGATTACCAGACTGCGGATCTTCATGCAAAATAAAAATTGTCTTCATTAATTGCATGATGTAGGAACTACACAGATATTTATTCCTTTCCTTAATAGTTTTAGCGGGTTGACAGCAATGCAATAATGTTTTGAAATTCTCCAAACGATTTTGCTGTTTCGCACTCGATCTATTCGTTTTTGTTATAAATACATAAAATCCGCAATCTAGTGATTATTGGAGCATTCCACTAACTACAGTGGTTAAAAGTTCTCCAAAAAGACATAACCACGCTGTTCTTCAGAAATTCTACCGGAAGAAGATCACAGCCTAACCTCCGCCAATCTTCACCACCACCCTAAAAACCAGAAGCATTCAGCCGTTTGGAAAATGTTGTAAAATCGTGTCCCAACTATATCGCACTCGCAAAAACAATCCCGTACACCAAGAGCGAAGCGCCTGTCCCGTTAATGGCAATTCAAGCAACAAGAGGGAGCCGGGGGAGGAGGAGAAGGCGAAGAACAGGAAGGGCGGCCAGTGAACAAGCGTGAAAGGACACGCACCATCGAGTATTCGCAAGCACTGCGGCTGCTGTGGCACACTACCGTCTGTCTGTCCCTCCTGCCGTCCGGCTGTCAGAAGCACCGATTCTCGCAGTAACAACCGTCAGGGTCGCAATACTCCTCCGCCACCCTGTCGCAGATTGATCGTGGCCTCATCTGCACCAACGCTCCGCGTCCCTCTTCCCGGCCCCTTTTTCGTCTCGATTAGGCGAAAACCGACCGGCAGCCGGTCTCCGAAACCTCCTCCGAACTATCTCCGCCGGAATCCTCCTCTTTGTCCACCCTCTCCCGAGATCCGAGTTAAGGTCCGCCGTAGCTCCTCTCCGGTCCAATTGATTATCCTTCTTCGAGAGTTCTGTCTCCTCCGGTCTTATTAGTCTTCCGGAGCGTTGGGCCCTCCTGTCTTCCTACCTTAGCTCTTCCTCTGGTCTTATCGCGTCGTTCTCGAGGTGTTTCCAGGTGGCTACTAATCCTCTGATGTTCCGTCGACGCGTACCAGCTCTGTTTCCCGAGAAAACGACCTCGTCTCTAAGGTCCGAACACTGAACTCGGTCTCGCGAATCGCCCGACACGTGGACGCCCGATCGCGGCCCCGCGATTGTTTTATTTTCGGGTTGAAAAATTAGGGGAGGTATTCGCGGAGCTAAGAGCGTCCCGCTTTGTCACCAGGGATTCGCTCGGACACACTAACACGAGAGCAGGACGCGCGTTCCCTGCCGGCGGTCGCGGCGTGCGTCTATACGACACGTTATTTTCGGACGCGAACGAAAATCAAAGGCGTTAAGGAGTCGCGCGCGGTGACGCCGCGGACGTCGTCATCGCGGATAACACCGTGGAAAGAGACGTCCAGCAACGTCCCGTGGCCATTTTATCGCGAGCGGATGGGTTCACGGATCGGTGAACAACATGGAGAAAAATCAGTCTGCACGAGTGTAGTGAGATTTTGGTAATTTCGGTGGCGACACTGTGAGATCGGTATCACGAATTTCTAGAACAAAATGGCGTCACGTGGCGTTTGGTGGATCACGTGGCCGTCAGCAAGATGTTCATGGAGCAATGCGCATAGTCGCTGGCTGTTTCGGAAGAACGATCGCTTCCCTCGGCTTTCCGATCATTCCGAAAATATTTCTAGGCCGTTCGGCCTTCGAACGATTGCTCGATTAATCGATCGACCGAACTGCCAAGCATCCCGGGCAAGAATCCGCGTCCGCTGTTTCGAAGTTTTCCCGAGGCAACGTGTTTTCGATGCAACCGTGAACGCGAGGCGTCATCGCGACAACATTCTATTTGCAACCGGGGCCTCGCTGCCGCGAGATTCGACGACAGTGTGCAGCATCAACAAAACGAATTTAGTATCCGCGCCGGAGAAAGAGAATTCCCGGAGACAATCCGCGTCGTTCCGGCGGCCGCCTTGCTCGCTGAACAACGTTTCTGGGAAATTTCTCGCGATATCGGGCTCGAAAACAATCCGCGATTCGTCTGTTAAACGTCCGTTCAACCGACGAGATGTTCTCTTGAATCTTCAACGAGGAATCATTCTGTTGGCATTCAACGATCATAGCTCTCCTTGGTGCCCAGAGGCATCGTCACACCACGACCGTTATATTGTGTGCGTTGAGATTTTTGTTTCAGTTGTTTGGGTTAAACAGCGCGATCTAGGCAGTCTGTCGCAATTATATAAACGGATTTAAAAGGACACTATATGGCACGTGTACATACTTCGGATAAAATATATATCNGTTTTATTTTCGGGTTGAAAAATTAGGGGAGGTATTCGCGGAGCTAAGAGCGTCCCGCTTTGTCACCAGGGATTCGCTCGGACACACTAACACGAGAGCAGGACGCGCGTTCCCTGCCGGCGGTCGCGGCGTGCGTCTATACGACACGTTATTTTCGGACGCGAACGAAAATCAAAGGCGTTAAGGAGTCGCGCGCGGTGACGCCGCGGACGTCGTCATCGCGGATAACACCGTGGAAAGAGACGTCCAGCAACGTCCCGTGGCCATTTTATCGCGAGCGGATGGGTTCACGGATCGGTGAACAACATGGAGAAAAATCAGTCTGCACGAGTGTAGTGAGATTTTGGTAATTTCGGTGGCGACACTGTGAGATCGGTATCACGAATTTCTAGAACAAAATGGCGTCACGTGGCGTTTGGTGGATCACGTGGCCGTCAGCAAGATGTTCATGGAGCAATGCGCATAGTCGCTGGCTGTTTCGGAAGAACGATCGCTTCCCTCGGCTTTCCGATCATTCCGAAAATATTTCTAGGCCGTTCGGCCTTCGAACGATTGCTCGATTAATCGATCGACCGAACTGCCAAGCATCCCGGGCAAGAATCCGCGTCCGCTGTTTCGAAGTTTTCCCGAGGCAACGTGTTTTCGATGCAACCGTGAACGCGAGGCGTCATCGCGACAACATTCTATTTGCAACCGGGGCCTCGCTGCCGCGAGATTCGACGACAGTGTGCAGCATCAACAAAACGAATTTAGTATCCGCGCCGGAGAAAGAGAATTCCCGGAGACAATCCGCGTCGTTCCGGCGGCCGCCTTGCTCGCTGAACAACGTTTCTGGGAAATTTCTCGCGATATCGGGCTCGAAAACAATCCGCGATTCGTCTGTTAAACGTCCGTTCAACCGACGAGATGTTCTCTTGAATCTTCAACGAGGAATCATTCTGTTGGCATTCAACGATCATAGCTCTCCTTGGTGCCCAGAGGCATCGTCACACCACGACCGTTATATTGTGTGCGTTGAGATTTTTGTTTCAGTTGTTTGGGTTAAACAGCGCGATCTAGGCAGTCTGTCGCAATTATATAAACGGATTTAAAAGGACACTATATGGCACGTGTACATACTTCGGATAAAATATATATCATTATTTAACTGGATACGCGGTATTGCTTATTTGCTTTTTTCCATCACATTCGACTGCGAATTTTATGCGACAGCGATAACTAGCCGAAATATCAGAGCTTCTCTCAATTCGAACATTTCTGGCGAAACAATTCGATTCGAACGAATCGAAAGAGATCGATCGAGGATCCTCGACGATCGACGATCGTAGATCGTAAGTCAATGGACTCGAGGAAGGTTCCTACATCCGTCGTCGTCGTCGTCGTCTGTTGTCACCAAGAGCCGAAAACGGAGCCAAAAACACAAAGGTCTGGCCGCGGAGGACGAGCGCACGTGTCGCGCGGAACTTCTATTTGCAAGTCGGACTTGGTGCGTAGTTGTCAGCAATAAATCGGCGCGGTTCTGCGCGGCGCGCATATTTATCACAGCGGAGATATTACGCGACGATCTCTGCTCGGAAGATCGGAAGAAGAATCGCACTTGCCGAAACAACAATCGAAATCCACAAATTCCGGCAACGCGATCGAACCGAACCCCTAAATCACCTAGAAGCTACATCGCCTAGAAGTCATTCCATCATCCGGATGATCCATAGTGAACAAACACTCTTGGCAAAATGGCCACGGGATCCACGCGACCGTGATCCTCTTAAATCTTCCGTACGAGTGAATTCCGAAGCGTCGAGAACATCGACGGATCGATCAAAAACCCGGAAGGTGAATCGATCTTCGAAAAGGGTCGATCTTCACCGGCCACGATCGAGCGTCCATCTGCAAACAGGATGATCGAGGACGATCGGGAACCGATCGAGTCCGATCGATCTTCTCACCGAGCCTCCGAGCTACTTACTAAACGGGATCTAGACGCGTCCAAACGATTTTCTGGTTTCGGGAGGAGCGAGATCGCGGCAGGATCGATATCGCGGGATCGACGGCGGTCCGTCGATCAGCTGATCCTTCGCAGGAGCGGCGATCCGAGCTGCGCTAGTCCCGGGATCCGACTAGCTCGCGGTTTCTCCACTGATTCGATCGTCCGGATTCACAGGGGCGAGTTGATCGCGGGGCCTCGACACTGATCCACTCGATCCAAGGATCTGGTAGGCTGCCAATGGGTTCACTCGATCGGTTCACGGCGATCGAGCGCGCACTGTGTGTACCGTTGCTTTTGCCTCGATAGTGCCCCGTTACTCCTCGATCCTTCACCTTTCGGGGAAAACTCGAGCGCGGAAAACGTTCCACGCGGAAATACCGGACGGTCGGACGCGGCCGAAGGGCGCTGGATCTACGTAGGATCTACGCAGATTCTACGCAGGATCAACGAGGCTACTCGAGGCGAGGATTTAGGCGACGCGCGCGATCCACAATAGAACCGTTTCGGGGGCGGTTGGAGCGAGAGATGATCGAGAAACGAGGCTCGGATCGACGCGAGACATAAAACCCGCGAGGCAGGACCGTCGACGCCGGAACGACGGGCTCGACGTCGGTCGTCGCGACGACACTGAGACGCCGGTCGTCGAGACGCGCGTATCTAGACGCGCGCCGAAGGCACCGCGCGGCGCGGCGCGGCGCGGCGTGGCGGCCAGGTACGGCACCCCAAACAGTTATTAATAGCCTCTGTCCTAGCTTACTAGATTTGCCCTCGAACCAACGCAACTTCTCCACCCCTCCCGCCCATCTTCCTCCTCTTCCTCCTCCTCCTCATCCTCCTTCTCCTCATCCTCTTCCTCCTCGCCCCCTCCTCGGCCAGCGAGCTGCTACGATACTCCCCTACGGTTCTCCTCGCGCGAATGATTCCCTCTCTGCAAGCTCAACCCCTTCTACCGACTCACGACAGAACACTAATCATTCTACAGTGCGTGTCACAATCGCAGCCACTAGGAATTTTAATCCTGGTATAGTGGGACTTCAAACGATTTGCAATCCAAGCTACAAAGTTTGAATTTTTGACCAGGTTCAATAAGATCAACGATTGTTTCAGAGACAGCGAGACATGATTCTGTCTCTGCAAGCTCAACCACCTCCTGCGAATACTCTCGACGACGCTAATAATTCTATAACACCATAACAGTAGGTTTACGGAAACCGTCGACATGACGGGTCACTAATTAGTTTCATTTATTATTATATTAATTCAGATTAACGATAACACTCGTTAAGGAACGGAATAACTAAAGCTAGACTAACTAAAGCTAGATATTTGGAAAATCGAAATTACTTTTGCAACAAGCCAATGAAACAGCAACTTTTAGTGCTCCGTAAAAGTAGCGTTAAAGAGAGGGGATGAAAGCAGGCAATAAAGAAGCATTGTAACCGGAAGTCAGTCAACGTTGAAACACTCGATCTAAATAAATAAAAAGGAAAAAAGAAGAAAAAGAAGCAGGAAAAGATGAAGAAAAATCAACGATGATCGAAAAGACACTGGAGCCTCATTCAACCCAATTAATTGCAATGAGACGAGCGTTTAAAATGATTTCCCGCGGCATCGTTTTCGGTCTCGAAATTGCACTTTTGGTAGGATGGATTTTTGTTGCCCGCCCTTTTTTACTCCCTTGCCCGTTTCTTCTTTTTTCGGTTTGCGTTTGAAACGCACCGGACCCTTCCCGCCGCGACGCTCTCCGAGCCTGGTCGATGAATGCGGTTCACCCTTTTTGCGGTTTGGAATTTGTATTTCGGTTGTTGCGGGACCGTGGTCTTTTTCTTCTGGCGCACCGTGATGGTTTCGGGATGACGGTGGTGGTTTCCATGGGGGTTTGTACGAAATGGAACTCCCTTGCATTCGAATTCGAAAGTATTCGATGAGTTTCTGAAGGGGATGATGGAAACTTTTTGCCGTACCTTCGATTTTTTCGAATTTAGTGGATTGTTCGGTACTCGTTTATGATAGTTATTTATCAGAGCAGTGGTCGAGAAAATTAGAATAACTTGTTTATCATTTAACCGTAATCCGGGAACCGTAGAAAAATCGAAGGAAGAATTTCATTGTGCTTATCGCTAGTTTTACGGAACACCAAAAACAGCTGTTTTATATTACTTCACAAAAGTGACAATAAGACATTTATTTCGAACGAGTGCTATTATAATATTTGCCGCAATCGTAAATGAAACAATTTACGAATTTATTTAAGCGGGTTTAATTAGACATTTTAACGGGTTCCGTAAACCTAGTGTTAATACTTGCAATAACATCTCCGGAATAAAGTACACTATTTTGTCTTTTCGCGTATTAGGTTGTCAAATAAATGCGTCTGGTACGTTTAACGTCTCTAGAAAATAAAAACGTCTCTAACAGAACCAGACGAATTTACGTTACAAACCGACGTTAAGTGTGAAAAAATGCTTAGCAGGCACGGGCATGGGGAAAGCTCGAATTCGAAAGTCGGAAAATCGAAATGTCCGAGAAACGAGAAGGCGGGGAGGATTCGTGACATTTTCAGTCGGCCGTCGAACGGTAAAATTTACGCTGCGACACTTCTCGATGGTAGCTAACCGGGGAGTCTCCCAGGGGACGATCAGCAAATTGCGCGAAACTCGACGAAGAAGGCCGGCCGCACGATTGATTCTTGCCACGTTTTAATTCCCCGCGGAGGCCGGGCTGTCCTGCCGGCCGCGTTTCGCGTCAATAAACCCGCGGGAAAAAAAAACAATGGAACCGACTTTTCGAAACGCTAAAAATAGGCTTGCACCGTGAATCGACGGCACCTGAAAAACATCGCTAAACCGCCTGCCAATTGTTCGGAATCAATCGATCGCCATCGTTTTCCACAATATAATATCTAAAAAAAATTGCTTCGACGTTTCTACACGGAAAAAGAACAAAATGAAAAGCCCGGACCAATTCGTTTCGCTAACACAGCTGAAAAACATGCGAGCGTTTGAACTCGAAAGACGAGTCGAAAGATGGTCAGCATGTTTCGGAACTTTTTAATATAATTCGGAAGAATGTTTTCGTGTTCTTTTTGTGCGCATTCTTGAAATATCTTGGACCAAATGAGATTCTTGGATTCTGGAATCGAGACAGCTTCGAGCATAAAGACTTACGTTCAATGTTTCATTTATGAAACTACTTTTATTCGATGTTGTAGAATACAACCAAAAAATAGCTAAAGATATAACCAAATTGATTGCAAAGTCGACGGAAATCCTTTCCGACAGCGCTTCGAAGGGTTAAAGCGAACACGGGAATGGGTCGGAATCATGATGGCATAAGTGACATTTTTAAAAACTTTGACTTACGTATTAGAACGTAATCCGTGCACGCAGAAATGTTAAAAAGACAAGCGAAATAAATAATAAAGTGACCGTAAATAAAAAGTCTGAAATAAACAGCAAGACTTTCTGCATCAATTATAAAAAACAGGAATCGAGTGCCCTATTGTATCCTATTTCAATATAATTTCAACAAAACGACAATATTATGTCACTACTCTAAAGTTCCTCCGACGCTTCTCCTGTCTTGTATCCATCGTTCCAGTCAATAATGCACATGATCCTGCCACAAGAAAAAACCGGATTGCACAATCGACAGAAATTCCTCCACGAGACACTCGAGAGGAACCGAGAAAGAAGAACTTATGATCCGACTATCCCGCGGACAACGGGCGAAAGGGCGAAACGCGTGACCGCTGAAGGGCCGGTTAAAAACCGAGCGCTCGTTGACTGCCGGCAAAAGTGCGTGGTGTGGGGGATGGATCTGCCGACACCCTCGAGGAATGTCTCAGCCCCGTTCGGACCGGCGGAGAGGGGTAGCTCCCTATAAATCGTGTCCGCGGAGTCGCGATCGCTTGTCCCGGGGTTAAGCGTTCCAAAGACTCGGGCGAACTCGCCCCCGGAAACGAAGTAGGTGGCCACGAGGGAACGAGCGCGGGGATGGACCGGGGCCGGGGAGGGTGGAGAAGGGTGGGCAGCACGGTCTCTCCGCAGTAAGAAACGGACAGCGAAATGTCGGACGTCGGTGGAGCCGTGTTTTGCGGGTCCGGTCCGCGTGGCTTGTTCCGCGTACGACGACGACGACAAGGAGGAGGTGGAAGAGAAGGAGGAAGAGGACGAGGAGGACGAAGAGGAACAAGAAGAAAGCGCGGCGCGGGGTGAGAAACGGCGGCGGAACGGCCGGAACAAGACACGACGAGGAAGAAAGAAAAAGGGGAACGAGAGGGAGCACGCGGCTGCTGCTACCGCTGCTACTGCTACCGCTGCTGCTCTGCTGCTGGCGAAGCCGATCGATAGCCAAACTCCTCGCCGCCACCTAAGATAGACACTGACATAGACTTCGCGGCAGATAGAGACCACGTTATGCACGGACCCGGTGCAGACACACCGCTCGCAATTTTTGATAGCGGCCCATCCCCCCGGCCCTCTCAGACACTATCGCCGCCACCCCGGGTTCTGTTCCTGCGTCGCTCGGACGCCCGTATTTTCGCTAGATAAGACAGATTGGCTGGGAACTGACTCGCGTTGGAACGATTCTCGATTCGAGATCCTACGGTCGCGATACCAGTACCATGCTACGTGCTCCGGAGATGCTGCGTTTGTTTCGGTCTCGTTTCTCCTGTCGATGCAGATTGCTGGTATATCCCTTGGGAATCGATCTTTCTAATCGACTCGAATCGGTCGAGCAGACATTGTCCGAGTTCCGGAAAATTTTGTTCAACCAGTTAGTTGGTTTTTTAGGAGTATAGCACTAAATATTGCCTAGGGTGTTTGGTCCAAGTACAGTCGTAATATGAATAAGAAACTGTATGGCCTGATTTAAAAAAAGTCAAGGTTGACCTTGATATATCCTCCAACATTGTACGAATGAAGAAATTGTTAATACTGCGTAAGGCATATTTTTGTACTGAACAACTTTTGAATGAACGTTTTTTTTTTCGTAGCTTCAACCCATTACAAGATGTTTCACTGGATCTGGTTAAACGAAACACCCTATATATAACAAGGTGATTCGCTTCAATTGATCGTCTAAGTTATTTCTGTTGCTACAAAAAGTATGAGAAAGTGACAAAGTGGTATTAACACTAGATTTACGGAACACATATTTATGAATTATTTATTCGATTTATATGTCACTTACGACGAATGTTACAATAACATTTGTTAAAAATCAGAACAAATGTCTCATTGTTACCTTTATGAACTGACATAAAACAGCTGTTTTTCATGCTCCGTAAATACAGCGTTAAATGGTTCCGAAACGTGCATCTGACGATAACAAAGAATCGTTCTACCAAGGTCACTTCAGTGATTTTTTTAAGGTTACTTTGTCATCACCCTGTACGTCATTAAATCCCAAACTTGTAATCTCCGAAGCATAAACACTTCTCTTTCGAGCTTAGCAAGAAATATCAAGACTTCGATCACTGGAAGCTACCACATTAATTGAAGATACCCCCAAAAGTCTACCCCTAAACACGAAAGTACTGTATCTTAAGAAAGAAAAAGAAATTCCTGATTAAAGAAACGAAAGATCCGTTGAAGGAACATGCTCGATACGACAAGGATATTTCGCGTATGTTCTAGGCTTAATCCCGAAGGCGTGCATTGCTCGGACTCCCCTAGAAAGGACGCTAACTT